GTACAGCGTTTCGTGGCCCCATAGGGAGCCCAACCGAAGGTCCCAGTGCTACCGTCCGCATGCGTCCCCCCCACCCAGTACAGCGTTTCGTGGCCACTAGGGAACCCCCGGAAGGTCCCAGTGCTACCGTCCGCATTGCGTCCCCACCACCCAGTACACACTTCGTGGCCCCATAGGGGAGCCCCACCGAAACTCCCAATGCTACCGTCCGCATGCGTCCCCCCCACCCAGTACAGTGCTTCGTGGCCCCATAGGGAGCCCCACCGACTGTCCCAGTGCTACCGTTCGCATGCGTCCCCCCCACCAGTAAAGCGTTTCGTGGCCCCATAGGGAGCCTCACCGAAGGTCCCAGTGCTACCGTCCGCATGCGTACCCCCACCCAGTACAGCGTTTCGTGGCCCCATAGGGAGGCCCACCGGAAGTCCCAATGCTACCGTCCGCATGCGCCCCCGACGCCCAGTACAGCGTTCCGTGGCCCCGCAGGGAACCCCGCCGAAGGTCCCATAGCTGTCGTTCGCATGCGTCCACCACACCCAGTACAGCCTTTCGTGGCCCCATAGGGAGCCCCACCGAAGGTCCCAGTGCTACCGTCTGCATGCGTCTCCCTCCCCCCCTGTACAGCGCCTCGTGGCCCCATAGAGAGCCCCACCGAAGCCCCTGGGACTGTCCGCATGCGTCCCGGAAATCTGTTGGCATTTTCACCCCACCCAGTACGGCGTTTCGTGGTCCCATAGAGAGCCCCACCGAAGCCCCCAGTGGGACCGTCCGCATGCGTCTCGGAAAAACAATTTGGCATTTTCACCCACCCAGTACAACGCTTCGTGGCCCCATAGGGAGCTCCGCCGAAGCCCCCAGTGGGACCTTCCTCATGCGTCCTGGAAACCACATGTGGCACACCCCTCATACGTTTCGTGGCCCCATAGGGAGCTCCACCGAAGCCACCACTGGGACCACCCGCATGCGCCCCACACACCAAATTTGGCATTTTTCACCCCACCCAGGACGGCGTTTCGTGGCCCCATAGGTAGTTCGCCCGACGGCCCTAGTTCTACCGCCCGCATGCGTTCCCCCCCACCCAGTGCAGCGCGTCGTGGCCCCAAAGGGAGCTCCACCGAAGCCCCCAGTGGGACCGTCCGCATGCGTCCTGGAAACCACATGTGGCACACCCCTCATACGTTTCGTGGCCCCATAGGGAGCTCCACCGAAGCCACTACTGGGACCACCCGCATGCGTCCCACACACCAAATGTGGCATTTTCACCCCACCCAGGACGGCGTTTCGTGGTCCCATAGGTAGTTCGCCCGACGGCCCTAGTTCTACCGCCCACATGCGTTCCCCCCACCGAGTGCAGCGCGTCGTGGCCCCATAGCGAGCTCCACCGAAGAAAATATTCACAATTGCGGTACCCACAACTGCATATGGCATATGGTTGGGTCCGTCGCCAGGAGAATTAAGCGAGCTGCAAGTGGCGCGAAAAACTATGATCGGATGCACCAACGAGCTGTACAGCAAGAGCCCCGTGTTGGAAACGAGGGAGAGACCCACAGTCCGAGTGACTGTTGCACAGACTTGCACTGCTGGCTGATGTTAGGTCGGGCGTGTCCCCCTACAGGCGGATTTGGACGAAAAACAAAAATAGTCAAATTATTCACTGCGTGGAGCACCCCATATGTGCATCTATCTGCATGGACCTGTCCGTCGAGAGCGTCTAGGCGCAAGGGATTTCGAATCTAAATGGGCTTGGGTATTGACAGACTGGGAGTGCACCCACCCCGCAGACGAGCCTGGCCACCGAACCAGGCGGCCCGCCTGAGACATCCTCGCAATATGAGCTCCTTGCGGTGCTGAAGCCAGCGCCTCACCTGAGACATCCTCCGACACTGCGCTGAACGCAGACGACTCTGGCCACCAAAACAGGCAAACCGCCTTAGACATCCTCACACTCTGCGGCCACTCCAGGATTGGAACACTGTAGAAACATATGTAAAACACATGGGGTTGGAGCCACTCCTGTGGCCTCCTGGGGCCTCCTGGCGCCTCCTGGTGCTCCTGGGGCCTCCTGGGGCCGGGCCTCGTGGGCCTCCTGTGGCCTCCTGGGGCCTCCTGGAGCTTCCTGGTGCCCCTTGGAGTCTCCTGTGGCCTCCTGGGGCGTCCTGGGGCCTCCTGGAGTTTCCTGGGCCTCCTGGAGTTTCCTGGGGCCTCCTGGGGCCTCCTGGAGATTCCTGGGCCTCCTGTGACCTCCTGGAACCTTTTGAAGCCTCCTGGGGCCGCCTGGTGCCTCCTGGGGCCCATTGGGGACTCCTGGAGAGGATTCCGAATCTGGGCACCAGATTACGTCGCCGTCTGGCGGTCGTGGGTGTGAGGATGCATAAGTCTGAATATGAATGAGTTTGAGTGAGAGTGAGTCTGAGTGTGGGTAAGAGTGGGTGTGAGCGAGTCCGGGTATGAATATAATGAGTACGAGTCTGAGTCTGAATGGGTCTGAGTACGAGTGAGTCTG